GATGGGCCTGATCACTGTGTCTCTGTCATCTGGGCAGCTGTACAGCTTTCCCTTCTGTCTTGCAGATCCTCTATGCTGGCTGCTATGCCAGCCCGAGTCTGTGCCAGCACCTGGGTAGGAATCAGCAAGTATGGGATTTCCTCATGCAGCTCTCAAAGGGCAAGGTAGAACTTCACTGCGGCCCTTGTGATTGGGTAGGAGTGCATGACCCATTTCTTTGGGTGCTGCTTACACCAGGTTGGGTGTTGTGGAAAGAAAAGTGTGTGATGGAGCTCAGTCTGCAGAGTGCAGTTGTTGTCTACCTTCCAGGTCTCAGAAGCATTCCCTCCTCCCCTCCCAGTCTTGCTGTTCCCCTGTGACTCCTGCTCCCTTGGCAGGTCCCCATGGCGGAGTTGACTCAGAGGGTGGCCTGTGAGGCCTCCCTATACCTGCTGACCCTGCTTACCCTGCAGCCCCAGGCCTCTCCTTCCAGGTAAGCACCAGCTTTTATCTGTGGGTAAAGTAGAGCATTCCCTGTCCTGTACAAGTCTCTGCCCTACACCTTACTCAGAGCTAGGCTTCTGGTCCTGCTGATCCCTCTGATCCTGATGCATAGATGGATGTGGGGGATGCACTAGGGACCCAGAATGGGCAATGAAGCTCTGTGAATGAGGAATCATTTGCCCTCCTGCAAAGTGGCTTCTTCCCATCCTTGGGAGTATTTGAATGCCGCTGCTCAGTTGGATGTAGAGGCTTGGAAATACAGTACTGTGAGGAGGGCTTAGCTGCCAGTGTCTCTCCTCTGATTCCTGTGTTTCAGGCTTGAGGAGGTGGTTACCCTGGCCCTGGATCTGCTCACTCAGTCTCCTGTCATATCTGTTGTGGTAGGTCTGTCCATTCTGCCACAGGTACCGCAAGGAATCCTGCAGAGCCCCACATCCCATTTGGGTTTTACTGTTGCTTCCTCAGGGTGGGATGGGATAGGTGCAGCTGATCTGTCCTTGCCCTGGTCTAATGGATTAAGAGTGGATAGGCAAGTCCTAAAGGTGCTGAACTCTGTTTCTTCTCACAGGGTGCTGCAGCATTCCTCCTGACACAGCTTGATCAGCGTGGGGTGCCTGTTGCACTTGGGGGAAAAGAAATCTTACCAGCAATGACAAGCGCACTGATGGAGCCTGCTGAGGTATGGAATAGGGCCTGAGGAGCAGGGGGGCCTTGCTGTCACCCCAGTACAAAGGTTTGCAGGCAAAGATGGACTAAGAAAGGTATGGGGTCTGGTGTGCTTCCCTCAGAGCAGTGCTCAGATCCAGCCTGTCCCACATTCTTTTACAGCTGCATTTCTCCCTGCCTATGGGTGCTGGTCTCTATGATGGGATCATTTTCCTCCTATTAAAGCTGCTTGCACAGGTACCAGCCTTCCTTTCACCCTTTGCCTGAGCTGGGTGTGGGGATGCAGAGGCCAGAGTGTGGATTGATGGTGAAGGATGGGGGGAAAAAAGGAAATTGTAGAGCTTTAGCTGAACTGTGCAACCCCATGAAAGTCACCTTTCATGTTTGTGGAGCTCAGGAGGGTTAATGGGAGGCTGATAGGCAGAGAGGAGTGATTCATGGATATATCAGAGTGGGAGAGAACAGAAATGCCCTGAGACTGGTGCTATCAGCAGGGGCAGGAGGGCTGCTAGGTTCCCTCTTTACTCTTTGGACCATCCAGCCCTGGCTTCCCTGGGACCATGGGGCTGGTAGAATCATGAACTGGAGCCCTGGAGAACAGTCTGTAAGCCTGTTAACACTTTTTTCCCCATACGTAGGAGGATGTGGCTGTGGAACAGAGCTTTGCTGCCTCAGAGTTGTGGAGCATGGTGTGGCATTGTGTTCCTGCAGTGCTTTGCATGGGTGGCAGTGGAGCAGCACTGGAGGGAAACAGCCCAGAGGCAGGGGCCCCTGTGGCAGAGCCAGACTGGAGCCTTCTCTCCCCTCAGGGTAGGAGCTGTGGGTGAAAAAGGCATCTGTCCTGTACCCTACTCCACATCCTGCTCTCAGGCTTGTTCACATCTCTGTCCCCATCATCAACTGATCCCTAGGGCCAGAGGGTTCAGGGATTGTTCTTGAGGATTGTTGACCTTCTCCAGAAAGTGAGGGCTCTATGCAGCACAGGCAAACAGAAGAGAGGAGACTTTTTCAGTCTTCCCTAATTTTGCCTCTCTGCCATGCTGTTCCTCCTGCAGGCACACTGCTTTTCTTAAGCCTGGCCCTCTTCATTTTCACTCATGAGACCCACCGGTGCCTGCCTCAGCTCACCCAGTCCCATGGTGTCCTCATGGTGATGCTGAAGACACTGCTCTCTCCTCGCTTCCTGGCGTGTCTGGCACAGACGTGAGTTGGGAAGGCTGAAGTGAGCAGTGCTCAACAGCTAATTTTTTATTTTTCCCCCCCTCATCATCTCTGTATTAAGCCCAGTCTCTAACAAATTCAGGCAAGCAAGGGAGAATGGAGAGGCTGAGCTCATCCCAGCTGTAGTGATGCAGGCCTGCCAGCTTCTCTGTTTTCCTTTTGCCCTGGATGTGGATGAAGACACCATAGCATTAGTCATCGAGGCAGTGAGAGACTCCCAGATTCCTCCCCAGCTACTGCAGGTACCCTTCTACCCCCCACATTTATCTTCCCCTCCTTCCTGGAGACAATTCCCCACATCACAGCCCATGCTGGCACTGCTGTTTTGTGCCCAGGTGGGGACAACACTTGAGTGCCATACAGCCCTCAGTGCAAGAATGATGCCCTCAGCACTACTGTGTCTCCTTTCTCCTTAGGTCTGCTGTCACCATCTGCCTTTCTCAGACACTGAGCTCCCCATGAGCCTCTTATGCCGCCTTGTTGTCTCCGATGAGCAGGTCACAGACCAAATAGCAAGGGAGGCTGCTGCCTCAGAGCACATCATTGCCTACTTGAGTATTGTCTTGTTTTCAGGCAGCCTCACGCTCACAACTGACCTCCTGTCTCTCTTGACTCATGTGGCTCGGACCTGTCCGGAGCACCTGCCCTTCCTCCAGAGGATTTTAGGGGGTTCAGATATGACCTACCAGGCACTGACTCACCTACTCCGCCACCAGGAACACCCCATACGGGCCAAAACCTGCAATTTGCTGGGCAACCTGCTCCGACACAGCCATGGCTTTCCCCAGGTGCTGCAGAACCAGCTTGACTTACTGGAGAGCCTGCTGGTGTGCCTGGCTGATGAGGATGAGGCTGTGCGCAAGGCAGCCAGCTTTGCAGTGGGTAATGCTGCTTATCATGAATCCTCCCCATCCGGGACTCTGGGCAAGGCTGTGCCCAGGCTGACGCAGCTGCTGAGCGATCGGCAGGCCAAGACACGCTGCAATGCAGCCTCAGCCCTTGGCAATTTGGGCCGGCGCTCGGCAGAGCTCGGGGAGTTGCTCATCGAGAGCGGGACCCCCCGCATCCTCCTGGAGGTGGCCTGCCGGGATCCCCAGGCCAGTGTGCGGGAGGGAGCACTAATGGCTCTGTGCGCTGTCAGCCAGCACCCTGGGATACAGCAGGTATCAGCCCTCACCCCTCTTGTGAAACAGCTGGTGGCATTGAGGGGATGGTGCAGGGCTGACTGCTGATTGCTGTGCCTCTGTCCACAGGTGTTGCTTTCCCTCAGGGCCAGTGACCAGCTGGCTGCGCTAGCCGGCAGTGACTCCTGGCCCACGGCTGGGGGCAGCCCCCGGCCTTCATCTGCACGCCACTGCCAGAAGATCATCCGCCTCCTCACACCCCTGCAGAGCACCTGAGGGAGCTCAGTGAGTCCGTGCAAGCTACGTGTGCCTGCCTCGTGCTCTGCGCTGGTGAAAAGGGCTGAAGCCAGCAGCCGCCCCGATGCTGGGGTGGGAGAAACGCTCCTTCTGACCCCCAGTGACTACTGGCTGCCCCGGGGAACTCTGCCTGGCCTCTTGGGCTGTGCTCTGGATGCACTTATTAGACCTGAGGATGAGGACACCTTCAGCACGTTGCTGTGGCACACCCGGGCTGCATATGCTCTGATCAGAAGCGTCAGTCTGGGGCGTGGTACCGAAGAACCCTTCCCACGTGGAGCTTTTTTCGGAACAGGTGGCTGCGATCTCCAGGACCTGGGCACCCTTTAAGGGCCGCAGCACTGGGCGGTGGCCGTGCCCCCCTCCTGCCGGCCGTCCTTTCTGCGTTTCTCTGACTGCCGCCTACTCGGCCGCCAGGGGGCGCCGCAGGACGCGGTGCACGCCGGGAGCTGTAGTCCTGCCCGTCGCCCGCGGGGTTGCCGGGATGCGCGGTCACGTGGCAGCGCGGCGCCGGCCGGGATCCCCATGGTAACGGCGGGCCGTCCGCGGGCGGCGCGGGTCGGGGCGCGGCGGGCGGTGAGTACGGGCGGAACACCCCGCACCCCTCTTGAGGGCCGCGCCCCGTTTCCCGGTGAGGAGCGGGTCCCCTCGCTCCCGATCTCCTTTATCGGCGGGGCTCCCGCTTTAACGCCTCCCCCCGGGAAGGGCTTCCCCTCCCCCCCCCCGGGAAAGGCCTCCGTCGCGGCCCGCCCCGGGGCTCGGCGGGGCCGCGCTGTGCTGTGGGCGGCCGGAGGGCTGAGGCGCGGCCTTCTCGGCACGTGGCTGGAAGTGCGCCTGCGGGCTGCGCTGCCGCGTGTCCCGGCCCGGCACGTGCTGTGCCCGGCAGCCCGGCCCTCCGGCACCGCCGCTCGGGGGTTGTTTGGGGGCTGCTTCCCCACGTGAATCTCTGCCTCTCCGCGTGTTTTCGACGCAGGCAGCTCTGCTTCTGAGAGGCAGCCGTGTGGGGTGGGGCGGTTGCAGGGTGTGTTTCTTCTAGGAGTGCTGAAGCTCCGGTTTCGACTGGGAAGGGTCTTCACCATATATCTGGGGACTTTTTTATTATTATTATTTTTGTTTTTATCCAAAATATACTAAGAAAAGAGGCTGGACAAAGAATTGGTGTGCTTTGAGCTAATTGGCAGTTCTTGTTTCCCTGTTCACTGTTATTTTATACTTTCACCGCTCACTACGAGACTTCCATGCTTACATTGTTCCTGTGCCACAAACTGAGCACAGTCAGGCAGCGTGAGAGCAGAACGACCTGTGCTGCTGGCTGAGCTCTCTCCTGCTGTTCCTCCCACTGTGAAGCTGGATGGTGAGTGCTGTGCCTTCAGCTTGCTCTGCCAGGGTCTGCAGGAAGGTGCTGGACCTCTTCATTGTCAAGGCTGTGAAAAGCTGCATGTTTTAACTGCTTATTTTTAATCCAGATTCATTTCCACGCTCTCAGCTGCATCATACCATCAGCTAGAGGGTGAGGAGGTATGATTTAGGGCAGGGACTTTCCAGCTTCACTGGTGAGAAAATACAGAGCTCTCTGCTTTGCTGTCCCTGACCCCCATTGGTGGCCAGGGGACTGTGGGCAGGGAATTTCTGTGCTATCAATACCAGGAGGCTGCTATGAAGGCTCAGGGAAATGCCTTTCCTAGCCCTTAGAGCTGGTGGGGTAGAGTGGCAGCCTTGCTGCTTGCTACCAGTTTTGTTCCATGTTCGGGACTTTTTGTTCTCTGTCATTGTTGCTGTGCTCACAGAGCGGTCAGCCCACTGCTTCCAGCAGTGTCCCAGTGAGCACGGAGTCAGCCCTCTATTATTTCAGCTTTCCCTCTGTGATGAAGCCACAGCTTTTCTGCCTAATCATGCTGAAGTCACTCACCTCATCTGGCACCATGCGCTGACGTCCTGAAAGCAGTGAGAAACGTGCAAAGTCCCCTGTGACTCAGGCAGCTGAGCCCTTGTCGTCCAGTGCACCATGGTAGGCCCTGACCTGCGCAGGGAACAGCTGCCTGCTTATGCCCTGGGGTGAGGCCCTGGCTGGGCCCAGCTCTTCGTCTGGTGCCTGCTGCCTCTATGGCTGCCTGGCTTGCCACTGCATGGCTTGTGAGCCCCCTGCCTTGCAGGGCTGTGTGATTAAAGGATCACTTTGGGGAGCGGTGCCCTTCTCGCAGTTTCTCTGTTAGGTGTGGAATTGAAAGTCACAGCTGTTCAATGGAAGTGAGCAGCCCCAGCATACAAGCAATCCCTGGATGCAGGTGGAATTTGCTGATGCATCCATACTGCATCTGGTTTCTCCCTGGTGTCTCTCCTTGACCGGAGCAGCCAAATGCAAACTTGGTATCTTGCAGTCTGCTCTGAGTAGGGGAGGAATTCTCATTGTCCCACACCTTCGGTTTTGCACCCAGAAGAGGACAGCTGTCCCATGGGCGTTCCTGAGGCAGCTGAGCTGTATCTAAGCCTCATTGTCCTTGCGCACTTGTTTTCATGGCTGGCAGCAGCATCCCATCTTCTCCTGGAGCTCACAGGTGGCCTGATGTGTTTGTGTATGGTGTTATGCAATCCCATGCTGAATTTGGGGCTGCTTGTCTTTTGGAGCTCACCTAAATGAGGGTGGTTTCTGTGCTGTTGGAACATGAGTTTGCATCTTGTTACTGGGCATACCAGGTGCTCAGGCACGCACAGTAAATCACAGTGCTTGATTTTGTTGAAAGCTTTAATTTTTTTTAAGCTGAATAGGTCCTTATGAAATGGGTATTGGCTTTAAATCCTTTTTGTTTGTGTTGTATTGTTGTTAACTCTCTTGTTCAGGTATTAATGGAATGTTGTAGAGCTTCAAGTGAGGGATGTGGTGTGACCTCAGATCTCCCTTATAAAAAACTTGATCCTTTCTGACTGTAAAGTGCAGGCTGAAAGCGTGGCATAGAAAATATCACCAGATCACACATATCTGACTTTGTTTCCTTTCCACTCCTGTGACTTTTGGATGCATGAGGCTGACAGCACATTATCAGGTCAGCTCACAGCCCATGCATTTGCAAGCTCTTGTTATTTTAAGTGTGTCACCACAGCTGAGTTTAAAATAACCTTCCTGCTTAAACTCACGTGTCGGAGGCTTGCTTTACGCCTGGGCTCTTTGGGGCTCATCCTTTCTCTAGAAGCAGCTCTGCTAGGAGCACAGCAAGGGTAGGGCTGGAGAAGCTCTGCTACACAGCTGCCTCTCAGTGGGGTACACAGGGCTGGGGCATGTGGTGGTCCCTGCAGTGTGTGAGTCGTCAGGGCTGTGGCTGCGCTCCAGCTGACGTCCCGAGCAGGCTGTGTGGTAATAAAAGGTGCTAGCTGAATAACTGTGAGCAGGTGCAGCTCTACAGTCGCATAATGTAACAACCTTGGCCTCTTTATTTATTGTGTGTCAATAAGCCCAGGCCAAAATCCATTAATTACCATTAATGATGTTTGGGTTGGACTTCCAGCCCTGCCAATTCACCCTGGGAGTGGAGCAGGGCTTTTCCCAGCTCATGTTTCCACAATAAAACTTCCAAATGTTGTTGTACTGCTGTTGTGAGTGCCAGTGGGGCCTGCTGCCCTTTGACCTTCCTGGCCAGACCCCTGCCAGAGGCACAGGTGAGTGAAACAGAAAGGGGAAACCTCACTGAAGGGTGCCCAGCAGTGACGTGGTGGCTGTCTGAAGCCATGGGGCTGTGGCAGCTGCTGTCCAGCGGTGTCCACTGTTTCTTCTGGATGTTCATTAGATGCCTCACTGAGCTGTCTCTTAGGTCACCCAAAGTGGAGGAATTCTGGGGAGATACTCAATGCCCATTGCTTGGGCATTGTTTCTGAGCCCAGCAAGCCTCTTCCCTATCAGGTTGATGCATCTCCTTGTCCTGCAGCTGGTGTACCACCATGTGTAAGCCTCTGGTGCGCTCCAAATCCCTTGTTACAGCTCTATCAGGACAAATCACTTTTATTTTTATAGTGAGATGAGGCAGGCATAGCTGCAAAGCCTGGAGGGATGAAGCACGGGTTGCTCCTGCTGGGTGGTCACACATGGCCGAGCTGCCAGCAAGGCATGGTGACCTCTCAGTAAGAGTCCCCTGCAGGCCAGGACACTGGGGATGCCTCCGTTAACCTTAATATTTTAATTTTAGAATTTCATATCTGTTTTCCTGGTGCGCTGGGGTTGCTTTGGGGTTTGAGTGTGCTTGTTTGGCTGGGCATGCAGGTGCCAAACTCAGACACTTGTTTACTGGGGGAACTCGAGCCAAGCAGGTGGCAGCATCTGAGCACAGCCTCCTCGCCCTGTGCTAATCGCCGTGAATGTCACAACACGGCCAGGCTGCTCGCTGCACACTGATCGGGTGACACGGCACGACCCAGTTCTGGAGGGTGCGTGCAGCTCCTGCAGGAGTGTTTTGGTGAGTCGTGGTGTGTCCATGGCACCAGAACCAAGCATCCCCAGGTTAGCAGGATCCTGGTGGTGCCTCTGCTGCCTTCTGAAGCTGGCACAACTCACCCACAGCTCTGAGCATGGAGTGGAGCTGAGGCTTTCTGTACATCCTGACAGGGTAGTGGCTCCTGTAAGATCCTGTGCAGGATGTTTCCATCTCATACAGCATCTGGTTGGGATGCTGTTGGCCTGATCTGAGCATGTATGGGATACTGGGAGCCTGCACAGGGTAGGGGTGAGCTTGGCCCAGCCCTTTGGTGGACCTGAACTGCTCTCATGGTGCTGCAGAGCAGCACTTCTGGTCTGGAAGCTACATTTCAAGTGCCGCAGCCCACGCTTGATTTTCAGGTGACAAAGGAGTGTGTGCATTGCAAGAAAATGAAGGGAGTGGGGGGATGGTTAATGCCCTGCTTACCTTTTGCTACTTTTTTTGGGTGTTCTTCATTAAGCTTGAAAGCAATTTCTTATCGTGGCTGTATGCAGGGGCCCTCCAGGCATGAGTTAAAGCAAGGCAAATATCTGGCACGTGCTTTGTTTTCTCTCCTCCCCAGGCAAAAGAATCATACAGGCACAGTGCAATTGTTTGAGGAGGATTTAGGGCACCAAGTGCTGTGCAGCATTCTGGTCTGCGGGCTGCTCCTTCTGAGAGACTTTTCTGTAGGGCCATTATTAAAAAGAATGCACGTGTGGTGTAGGCAGTCTGTGCCTGGCACAGGTGATGGTGTTGGAAGAGCCCTGTGTTTTCTGTTTGCAGCCTCCTCACTCCTGGGCTGTTTCTGTAGAGTTACCAAAGCAAGAAACTTATTGTCAAAGTGAAGGCTGAGGTTCTTGCTAAACTGTGTGACCTTGGGAGCTGGAGCCTTAAGGAAAGGAGAAAAACAAGAAACATTTGGGGGTTGCTGTGGAGCCAGGAGAGCTGCCTTGCCTTGCCAGGTTAGCTATGGCAGCCAGGGCAACCTTTGCTTTCACAAAGTCAAAGCTTTTGTGTGCACAGGACTTTTCCCAGGGCCCTTTGTAAGTTGTCCTTCATGTCCTCTGGTGTCAAGTGAGATGCCAACTCTTTCTTTGCTGTGATCTGGTCCAGAGAGACCTTTGGGAAGCCTTGGCAGAGGGAGGGACGTGGGTTTTGATGCTACTTGGTGCCCTCCTGGCAGCAGAATTGGGCCTGGCTCATAAGCCCAGTGGTGCAGAGACATCCTGTAAGAGGCCAGCTTTGCTGTGGCAGAGCTGTGGGGTAAGGAGGAAAGCAGGTGTGCTGCTCAAGTCACTGTGTTTCATGTAGTCATCTTGTTTCAGGCCAGTGAAGGTGCTGCAGTAGATTACAGATTTGCTCTTGCCTCGTGCTATGGCTCTACATGGCCTCAGCAGGACCACAACACAATAACCTGGGCCCCAGACAGGAGGAGAGCCTTGTCCTCAGGACAGACACCCTTCCAGCAGAACGACCGCGACAACGCCGAGTGTGGTGCCTTGCCCCTCAGCAGCAGGCGAAACCCATCTGGACTTTGGAGGGGCAGCATGTGAATGCCCACCAGGATCTCGGCCCGCCGCCCTCAGGGATCCCTTTGCAACAATCATGCTTCTTGTACCCGCCAGCACCGTGCCCGTCGCATCCCATTGAAAGCTCCCAGCCCTGCCCGGAGCTGTGTGGGAGCGCACTGCTCTACCAGCGCTCCTGCCTGAGAGCCAAACCCTACCGCTTTCCTTTCCGGAGCCCCCAGGACACCACCCCTGCCTCAGGAAGGGCAATGTCTTCTTTGCTGATGGAGCCCTGCCTGCCACCAGTGCTGCCTGAGGAGCATGCGGGGTCTGGGCTGAAAGGCTCTGCTCTCAGCTTAGGCTCAGCTTGCCCTCAGCAGGCTTCCAGCTCCTGCAGACCAGTGCTCCACAGCAATTCCTTCCTACAGCCAAGCAATGCTAAAGTGCCTTTGCTGCAGTCACCAGAAATGAAGAAGCTGAAGAACACCGACAGTTTTCCCACCATCTCATGGCCACACTCCAGGGCTGATGGAGACTGCTTTCCCCGCAGCTCTGCAGTGCAAAGCAGTGACTGGGAACAAACCTCTGTCTCCTCCCTGACCCTTGTGCCCAGCAGTGTGACCCTCAGGAATGAGCGCTGCTCTTGGCCACTGGGAGACATTGAGAGGAAAGCACACAGCTTGTGTGAGGCAGAGCCCAAGATCAGCCTCACAGCAGCTGTGCAGCAACTGGTCGGACAGACTGCCACCTGCAATGGCTTCAGACATGAAGTTAAAAGCTCTGGCCTTAGGAATGCAGGTGGCTTGTCCAGCAGGGACAGATCAGGGCATCGCATCATAGCACACCTCACTCCAGAGGAAACCATTGCTCCCCCAAACTTGGAGATGGGCAGCCATCATCTTAATGGTAACTCAAGCCTTATAGGCACTGATGGTGCCGTTGTCTGCACTAAACGGATCAGTGTTCATCTCCTGGCCTCTCGTGCCAGCTCTCCTGACCGCAGCTCCAACTGCCGGCTCATGAACACGCTGCCCCTGCATGGCAGTGAGCAGGGAACCAGAGCAGAGCCTCAGCAGCTTGCTGCCATCTCTGAAGTGGCCGCTCAGATGTCCAGCATCCAGCTGGAGAAAAAGAAGTGTGCCCACGCAGTGCTCCCAGAAAAGCCTGAGTGAGTAGAGCATGGGGAATGAGAGAGGCTGTGGGGAGGTGGGGTTGGACTGGCTTTCTTCTGGGCTTGTGTTGAAAAAGGCTATACTTAGGGCAGTGCAGGGGTGACTGTGTCTGTAAACAAACCCATGTGAAACATCTTGTTGCAGGAGGAACCTTTCTTCAATCCCAGGTCACACAGGCCCTTGGTGGCTCTGAGCCCTCTCATCTCCTTTTTCAGCCACAGCATGGAAATGTGGTGGGGCACTGCTTGTCAGGCTCTGCACATGTTTTGGGTAAAGGTTGCTGTCAGGTCAGCTCCAACAAAGCTTTCCCTGGGCAGAATTGTGCATTCCTAAAGTAACTTGGCGTCAATGTAGGACAAGGAGAATATGGAGCAGCACTGTGGGCTTCTAGGTGTTTTGGGCTTAGAAAGTATTTACCACTCTCTAATGTGATGTCCTTTATCTCAGTGGTGCTGCTGGGGAGTCACTGCTGGAGCTGAGCCATCCCCAGGACGATGTGGAGGAAGAACTTCCTGGTGGCCTGGATGAGAGCTGCAGTCTGGAGGAAGAAGAGAACAGTGAGTGCCCATTCCCCAGGAAGAGCTAAACTCTGTCCCTTGGTGTGTGCAGGGATTGTCTGGGAGTGGGGTGTGTGCACAGCAGGAAAGCTGTGACTGCACACTGTCTTATGTTCTTGCTGTTATTTTGGGATGACCTAGAGATTGTGTGGAAGCCAAAATCAATCTAGCAGCAAGAAGGAGTTGTGGAGGTTCCTGTGGGGAATGGAGTAGGGTTTAAACTTGCCCAGCTCCAGTCTGTGTGAAGGGCTTTTGGCTCCACTTCTGTCCCACTCTTCATAGTGGGTTAGTGGGTGAATTTAGGATTTGAGAACTTGGAACAGCTGTGAAGGATCTGTCCACAGGACCATTTGTTTTTTCTCTTCCCTTCTGCAGGTGACTCGGATGCTTCCTCTGTCACTGGCATGTCGTCTAATGACTCTGTGGCTCTTGTATCCAGGTTAGTAGCTCTAAATAATGCACTGCAGCTTGGCATCTTTGTCTTCTTGGTGGCAGAAGAGAGCTGTAGCATGTGAGGGAATGGAGTGAAGATGGTAGCCAGCTTCCCAATCAGAATTAGCTTCCTGAAGATAAAGCTATGGACAGCAGCCTGTAGAGTGCTGAGGGTGCATCCACCACAGCAAAACAGGGGTCTTAATTTCACTGCCATGGGCAGTTGCTGGGTTAGGTTTATTGGATTACATTATGATCTTGCAGTGTCACTGCTGTGCAGATGAAGCAGAGTGGAGGCATCCTGGGCCCAGAGACTGCAAACAGTTCATGAGGTCTTGTTTCTAGGATGCAGTGCTGAGACACGAGCCACAGCTTGGGTTTTTCTTTAGCTTTTGGAAAGAGGTTTGTTTGGATGTGGTTTGGTCAGTCTGTGGTCATCTGAGCCCTGCCTCTGATTCCTGGCAGACCTTTGTGGGATCTCTCCTTGGCCATACTGCAGTGCTGCTCTTTGCAACTGTGGTGAAGGAGATAAAGGAATACTGATATGCTGATTTCTTTTGCTTCTCCTTCATCCTTACTTCCTTCACTGCATGCAGTCAGACCTGTGCCACCTCCAGTACTGGGCAGTCCTTCACCTTCTTCCAGAAGTCACTGCACCCACACCTGCTACCAAACTCCCACCAATGATGCTTCATTCATTCTAGCCCTCGCCTCTGCAACATTCGTTACATACTCTACTTTTAGCATTATCATGCCTACTCCCTGGAAGCATTCAAGGCCAGTCTGGATGGGCCTTTGAGCAACCTGGTCTAATGGGAGGTGTCCCTGCCTATAGCAGGGGGTTGGAGCTAGATGATCGTAAGTTTCCTTCTAACCCAAACCATTCTGTGATTGTGTGTGTGATACACATATGTAGCAATAGATGTGTTTATTAATGCTCTGCTTTCTCTCAGAAAGTGCTTTCTCTAGTGTGTAGATATGGCAAGAACATGTATGTACGTTCAATAAAACTCCTCCTTTCTCCTTTAAAAATGCCAAAGCTAAGAGGGTTGTGACAACTTAAAGGTGTCTGTGTTACGATCTCTAGCCCATGTTCCTGTGGTCCAGGTTATAGGGTTTGTTGTGTAACAAACTTCCCTGCAAGACACAGGAGAAGATAATGCTTGGCACGCTTATTTATTGCAAACTCCACCCCTTGTCTCTGCAGGCTGGTTACTGGCTTTTACGCCCACTGCTTGTACCACATTACAGTGATGCAAATTCCTGATAGCAGGATCAAGGCTCCTTCTGGAGCCATCTCATCTGCTGTGGACTAAAACCAGATTTGTGCCAAGGAATTACAATCAGTGTGATTTATTGCTGTTTAATAAACTTTTAATTACCAATTCTGGTATTGAAAAAAATGACTGTATAGAAATAAACACTTATGAAACACCCCAGCTTCCCTCCAGGCTCCTCTCTTCCTTTCTCTGATCTCCAGCCCCACTGTTGCATTTTGTCTTCAGTGAGGCAAGGGGCAGTGCAGAACACTCTCATCAGTGTGATGTGGCTCCATTTCATCTGCTGTTTCCAGTTTCTTGCACTATTGATTCATTGTAGGTTCCTTGACTTCAGCAGTCCTTTTGGGGTCTTAACTTCTCCTGAGGACTCTCTTCTTGTTTCCTGCCTGGCAGGCAGTTTTTGCCCCTGTCTCCTGTCTGTGACATTGTTGTCCCCTTGTCACTGCTTTTACTGCCCTCCTTTAAATATATTTTTGCAAAAGCACCAGAAGCTCATTTCATTGCTCTGTGGCAATTATGGGCAGTACGGTCTCTGAGCGTTTATGGATGTTGAGATGTAAACCAGCCTCTGTGTGACTGTACGCGTAGGTGCTCCCCATGCTGTTTTCACCTTTATCCAGTTGCCTCCTGCTTTGTCTCTCTTAGGAAATGCCTCGAGTGCCTGGCCCAGCCCACTGAGGATCAGGAGAAAGTGCTCAAACCTGCTCTTGTCTGCAGTTTATTCCCTAACGTGCCTCCAACCATCTACTTCAGTACTCGCGATGAGAGAGGTGAGCTACGATGTGTTGCCATGCCATGTTCCAGCATCCTGGATCTCCTTTGGCTGTTGTATCTTCTGTTGCATGCTAGTTCTGCAAAGAGGATTACATACCCTCCCTGCAGGCCCAGTGGCTGTGCAGCAGAACATAGGAAGTGCTGTATCTAATCAAGGTATTGTGTTTGGTTTCCTTTTGTCCTTCGCTTTTTGTCGTCTTAGTGGAAAAGCTGCCTTGGGAGCAGAGGAAGCTGCTGCGATGGAAAATGTGCACGGTCACGCCGAATATTGTGAAGCAAACCATTAGCAGATCTCACTTCAGAGTCAGCAAAAGTAAGTTGTGGGAGGCTGGCATCATCTGATACATCGTGTCCTCCCTCGCCTCTAGCTTGTGGGCGTGAGAAGGCAGACTGCCTGTGAAGAGAAGAACAGGAGTGATATAGGCACTGCAGGATGCTGTGTTCCTGCTTCTGCCTGTCCAGCCTGCAGTATGTGAACTTTTGGAGTCTGGGCAGAGCCCAGTCTCCCTCTTGGCTTGCCAATAGTATGAACCAGAAGGACTTATTCTTTGCCCTTCTGGGGCAGTATGTGGGGCAGCAGAGCTGCACTTTGACTTGCTTAAGCTGTGCCTCTAGGTGGTGCTGGCACTCTGAGGAGGGTAACACTTTTCTAGTGCCTGCACCAGCACCACTGTCCCTTGTCTCCATATACTGAAGAAGAAACTGTCCTTCACTCTGACTGTAACTGGGGAATTCCATGAGTTGGTATCTTGGTACTGGAAAGACATGTAGGGGAGGGCTGGGGACACACTGAGCGTTCACAATTATGATCCATACTCTGGCATGTGATCTCCTAATGGTATTAACAGGGCTTCTCTGTGTATCAGGAGACCTCTGCTCAGTTCATTTTGAGGCTATAATGAGACATGTAGGGCAGACCAAAGCATAGAATGCCTCGCAATCCTACACATCCCTCTGCAGGGCAGAGCTGATTAGCTAACTGCTTCGCTCTCCTGCTGGAAAACAGGAAGGTAAGGGTGTTCGGGGGATTAAATGTTTCTCTCGCTCTCTCTCTGGCCAGATCCTTGCATCAGTCCTTGCGGGCAGATGACACCCCCCCCCCTGGTTAACTGGATCCCTCTCACAGCCCTTGGCTTGGCAGTTTTGTAGTGCTAGTGTGACTGCTTTGTTCTTTTGCTGTGCACTATCCCTGGCACCCTTCTACTCCCTCCAGGAAAGGGAGGGGATGTTTTTGGGTTGAGAAGGTGTTGTGGGTGGCAGGGTACTCAGTCATGGGCTATTGTTTTTCCTGTAGAAAGCAATGACTGGCTGGGTTGTTGGGGCCACCACATGAAGTCGCCCGGCTTCAGAGCCATCAGGGAGCACCAGAAGGTAGGAGGTTTTTTGTGCTGACTTCCTTTCTGTGTGTGGAGAGTGTGCTGGGAGCAGTTTGGTGCCTTCCCCTCAGAGCCAGGTGTTCGTTGTGCAGGCTGTCCTTGTGGTGTCCCTTTAGCTGTGTGGCAGCTGGTATTTCTGTTCTGGGAGATGAGTGCAGGAGGCAGGCACACATAGGAACTGGGTGAACGTCTCTGCTGTGAACATTTATCCTGTACAGACCAAGGCTGTAGTTAAGCTGTCTTCACTTGTGGCTTTGTCTAACCACAGTTATTGTTGTTTGAAGTAATCCTTCCACTGACAGAGTTGAGCCAGTGCTGGGTTCAGAGCGGGTGTATTCCCTGGTCAGGGAGTGACGTGGAGAGGCAGGAGTATCTCACAGGATCTGGGTTCCTTTTCAGCTAAACCACTTCCCTGGTTCATTTCAAATTGGAAGAAAGGACCGTCTGTGGCGCAACCTGTTGAAGATGCAGACTCGTTGTGGGAAGAAGGAGTTTAATTTCTTCCCCCAGTCCTTCATCCTGCCCCAAGACATCAAATTACTCAGGAAAGCGTGGGAGGAAGGAGCTAGCCGCCAGAAATGGATTGTGAAACCAGTAAGGGAAAAGCAGCACTCAGCACCCTATCCCAGCATAGCTGCAAGAAGATCTGATCCATTCTTGTTTGTTTTGCAGCCAGCATCAGCAAGGGGCATTGGCATCCAGGTTATCCACAAATGGAGCCAACTACCCAAAAGGAGGCCACTGCTGGTACAGAGGTGAGCAAAAGAAAGCAAAGTTGACAGGCAGCCTGGGACCTCCTACTGTCTAGTCTCAGACCAGATCTGGGCAGTTGTTGCTACCCAGCAAAGCAGAAGCATCTGATTTGTGTCTGGGCACCTCTACAGGCTGAGCACAATGGTGCTGCTGGAAGTGTGGCTCTGTCAGCTGTAGTTGGGTTTACAGGGATGCTGCTATTTCTCTGTAAACCTAGCTACAGTTGGGTTTCACCCGCTCTCCAAGTTGATTCCTGTTTTTGTCTTCTGAGGTGGGGCCAAGAGGTGCTCTTGCATGCAAAAATGGTAACTCTGCTGATGCTTGCTTCTTTTGCAGATATCTGCACAAACCCTACCTCATTGATGGGAGAAAATTCGACCTGAGGATTTATGTGTATGTCACTTGTTACGATCCCCTCAGGGTCTACCTGTTCAAGGATGGATTGGTTCGCTTCGCTAGCTGCAAGTAGGTTGTACAACAGTGGTACAGGGGATCTTCCTCCATCAGCCACTCGTGACTGTGGCAGTCACCTCAGCTTGGGCAGGAGGCAGTCACACTGTGTATGGTGGATGCTCAGAGCTCTAGCTTGCTTGCTGAAGAAGCAGTCTTGAAATGCACAGGTTCACTGCAGGTGAAAGGAAATGTGAGAGGATGTTTTGTGCATCCACCTTTTCCAAGTCAAGATCAGCTCAGGGTAAAGCGTTGCTTGTAATGTGTAGTCTGTGCTTCAAGTGGATGTACTGGAAATCTAGATGTTTCATCCAGTTTTGATTGTATTGTCTTGTGCTGCTGTAGTACCATCACTGCTTTTGCCCAGTGATGCTCTGGTCTTTTTTTATGACTCTGAGGGTAGGATTGCACCCCTCAGTCCCAGGGCAGCCTGTTCTGTGCCTCATCCTTTGTCCTCCTAGCTCTGGGTCTGTGGGGACAGAAATTGTGGAGGCAGCCTTGTTCCAGGCTCCCTGGGAAAAGGCAGCAGCAGACTTGGTGTGCAGCCAAACAGAAAGGTGGTGTCTGAGACGAGAACAGAGCTCCTTGCACCATGGGTCTGGAGGCAACCTGTTCAAGCTCAGACTGTTTGTGCTGCTACCATTTTCTCTAGGTACTCCTCCTCAATGAAGAGCCTCAGCAACAAGTTTGTGCACTTGACCAATTACAGCGTGAACAAGAAGAACACTGAGTACAAGTCCAACTTGGATGAGACTGCTTGCCAGGGACACAAGTGGTAGGTGCTGTGAGGGGGGAACTTTCAGTGCACAGGGTCAACTCTGTCTGTTCTCTGTTAAATAAGCCTTTTTTCAGTATTACTACCCAAAACTGGAAGGTACCCAAAACTTCTGTATCATCTGCTCCTGCCAGGGGAAATGGGGACAGCAGAGTGATTTGAATTATCAGGACATGGTGTTGAGAAGCAGTGGTGCTGTTTCTAGTCACTTCAGAAGAAGGCTGCAGTCTTGCAAAAGTTTCTGTTCCCTGCTGTCCTATAGGTGGACTGATCCAAGTAGTTAGGCACTTGTCTCTGATTCCACAGTGATGTTTAAACTCTTAAAAATAGTGCAGGATAGAGTTCTCAATTTGTGGGCCTGGGCTGGTCTTTTTCACTTCAAAGAGAGCTGTGGAGAGTGATTTGGTGTAATAAAATTGCATTGCCTAGACCTGCTGCTCAGTAGTATGTTCCTCTGTGGGTACATTGAGAAGGGTCTGCTGTCCCCCAGCATTTGAAATCCTGTGGGACTGAGTTCATGTGTTTTTTGGTACCACCATGCAAGTCAAAACTGGCTGCTCCCACATTAAAGATGAGTGGCTGTAATCAACTCCGTCTTGTATGCAGGAAGCCTGACCTTTGGATTCCTGGCCATTAGCCACACAGTCTCATTTAAGCAACATCTGAGCATCCTTGGCTCAGCGTCAGGGTAACTTGCAGCGCTTGGTGTGGTGTGGGAAACTCCTACAAAATCACAAACACTCTTCCCCCACCATCCTTCTTGCCACATTTATGAAAAAAAATTCTCCACTCCCCAAAGCTTCAGTGAAGTGGCTGTAGCTAAATGGCTTTGGGGGTCTTGATGGATTCCTGTGAGCTGCTTTGCAGTACTCCTGAGGAAGGCCTGCAAGAAGGGGAGGTTTGCTAAGGACACAAAGGGGGAGGGAAGAGAAGATCTGGAGCTGACGTACCATGCTCATGTGCTAATTTGGGACTTAGTACTCCAGTACTGGGACAAATCTATGACAGATTTATGGTTCTGGTAGCTTGGTCCTGCAAGAACAGGGGCCAGGCTGGGGAGAGTTGCAACCAGGAGTGGAGTGGTTTGAGAATGGCAGAAGGATGCTGTGGTCAGGAAAAGTGGAGATACATCCCTTAGCTTCCAGCTAAAAGCCTTGCCAAGGCTCCCTATTGCTGTTTTCACTTCCCTGGCAGGACAGGGCTGGACAGCAAGGGGCTACAAAACAATCTGTTTTGCTTTCTGTCTCCCAGGGCGCTCAAAGCTCTCTGGAATTACTTGACCCAGAAGGGAGTTAACAGCGAGGCCATCTGGGAGAAGATTAAGGACATCGTTATCAAAACCATAATTGCGTGAGTCTTGGTGCTCCTTGCTCTGCTCCTGACTGAAGAGTGCACCCCTGGCCCCTCTGGCTTTTCAGTCTGGTCCTTTGGCTCTTAATCTAAGTGCTGTCACCACTGCTGGTTTCAGTCTCTCTCTCTCTAAATCTTTTGTTATGACCTGTTAGCTGTGTTCTTACTGCTGTAGCTGCAAGGCATGAATAGACCTGATACTTCCTGGATCCACCTGAAGTGCAGGGGGGAGGACCAGGAGGGTGCAGCATATATGGCACTCTGCCCAGCTTGCACCCACTGCACCACTTGTGCAGGATGCTTCAGAATAAAGGTCCCTTAGTGCTGGCTGAATCTTATATTCAGAAGTGGATCCTGTCTGACAGAGGCGTGGCTTGGGAGATTGCTCAGGATCTGATACTGGATTCATATGCAGTGCAGCAGCAGCTTGCAGGCCTGCTTTGGTCTTTCAGCCCATCCATTCCACAGCATGTGGCTGTACGCACTCTCTGAGTTGGCAATGTGCTGCAGTCAGGTCTCTGCTGCCTGTCTTTGGAAATGAGCATTTTCTCTTGGCTTACAGATCTGAGCCATATGTGAACAGCCTTGTGAAGATGTACGTGCGGCGGCCGTACTGTTGCCATGAGCTTTTTGGGTTTGATATCATGCTGGATGAAAACCTCAAGCCCTGGATCTTAGAGGTCAACATTTCCCCAAGGTAAAGCACCTTTTCCTCCAAAGTCTTATCTCTGGGCCAGTGGAGGTGAATAACAGCCTTTCTTTTACCGTTAAGTAAATCTGGCCTATGATGTCCCCTGCACTGAACGACTGCTTTGAAGACTCCCTCTCCCGATTCCCGCAGAAATCAAAGTCCTTCCTATCTATAAAAGCAGCATCCATCCGTAGCTCAGAAACCTGTGCTGGGCATGCCTCAGCTAGAGCCAGGGAATAGTACATTTAAAAAAAAAAAAAAAAAAAAAAAGACCAAGGAAGAATGTGTCATGTAAGAAATGGGTGATGGCAGAGATTTCTGTGTGGGCAGAAGTGCTTGGCAGCTCTGCTGCCTCACACACCATTCATTCCTCTCTTGCTTGTTCCCTGGCTCCACCTGGCCATGTGGTCTCAGCTATTCAGATAGGGCTGGGAGCTGTGGTGTGCCTGGGCATAGCCTATCCTGCCTACTAGAGTTGGATGGGCATGAACCAGACACAGTAGGGATTGCAGGACTCTAGGGATGGATTTGCCAATTTCTAGCAACCCTCTGGGTGGAGGGACAGAAGCAAAACATTTTTGGTGGGAGGGACACTCCAAAGGGAGTGATCTCAGGGCCATTGGGCTCAGAACATTCTAGCACTCAGACTGCTGTGATGTTTCCTTCTTCCAGCCTTCACTCCAACTCTCCTCTGGATGTGAGCATCAAGGGCCAGATGATCCGGGACCTGCTTAACCTTGCTGGCTTTGTTCTGCCCAGCACGGACAGCGTAGCCTCAAGGCCTCAGACTGGAACTGATTTCACCTGCAGGTCAGTCCCATTCTCTTTCAGGGTAGAAGGGCAAAGCAGGTTTTCTCTTGGAGGATTTCATTTGGAGGCTGCTCTCAGAGCAACAGATACTAGTTTCTGTGCTGTCAAGAGCCTGTGCTTGCTAGTCCTTTGGCTGGATGTCTGAGGAACTTGCATTATTCCCTGGGTATCTGGTTCCTGCAGTCTCTTCAAGGAAGGATTTATGCCTGATTTACAAGTCCATAGTTGGAAGTGAGAGTAGGCCAGGGTAATTCATGCTTGCTCTGCAGTTAGTCAAGTCCTCCTTCCCCCTGCCAGAACTAGCATGATGCTGAGCTGCACTGCCTCTCCATCTGCTTCAAGGGCTGGCTGGCTGTGTTGGGGCTGGATCTGCTTACCCCATCCCCCAGAGCTGACATGCTGCCGACTTGAGCAAGAGGAGCACCTGTTATTTTGCAAAGGGTAGAGCAATCTGTTCCTTAGACAGAATTACAGGTGTCAGAGGAGGTAGACCTATGGTTGTGGGTGTACAGTCTTGTCTTGGAAAAAAACGAATGCTTTTTTTTGCATAAAGCTAATTTCTGAGCATATATGCACCCAGGCCTCTTTTCCTTCTGTTTCACCACAGCTTGGGCTTTTACTGGTTTCAGACCTTGTGCTCTGGGAAAAGGAACCAGCCCTTCTCTGCAGCAGAGTGGTTGGTATATTACACTACTGAAGGGGCAGCTTACTGGGTTGAACATCAGCACACAGTGATGTATGAGCATAAAGCAAGATGGGATTCCTGCCCTCCGCCGGCTCTCTGCCTTCAGCAGAGAGAGAGGCTTGGAGCATGGGCCCATTCCAGCCCAGGGAGCTCTCACCAGCTCATCTGTGGCACTTTGATCACAGGCTCATTTGCAGCTTGTGACTGAGGTGATGAAGGGCAGGTGCCCTTGGAGGAACCTGCAGAGGATTAACCACATCTTTAACATGGTTCAGACGATGCATTACCAGAGTTCCTGCATCCAGGGACAGGCTTGCTTAACTGTATCTGCTGCCCTGGAAAGGATGTGAGAAGGTTGGTTTTTTTTTTTGCATGTGGGCATAATTCCAGTACATTTGTGTGTTCCCAAGAACCATGCAGTGTAGCCTTAGGGCTCTGTTTGGATCACTGCACTACTAATCATCTTTGTGGCAGCAGAACAAGTTAGCTGTTTTGATATAAGTGTTAAAAGGTGTTGGGCAAGTATCTCCCAGCCTCTGGCATCCCCAAATGGTTCATTTGGGTGCTCAGAATAATTGAGATGCTTGCTGGTCAGAACATACAAAATACCAGGGTTTCCCGTGGCACATGGAGCTGGAAATGCATTTGAGTATTGGGAATTCTTGGATAATGAATGAATGCATTAATCCCCCAGTGTTCCCCTTTCTTGTACAGTATCAGTACTTAGTAGAAGTACACCCAGGCCCAGCGTGGTTAGGGAGCTGCATCTCAGGTGGAATATAAACCTAAGATCCTTCCAGGCTTGAAGTGCTCTGAGTCAGGTCACAGTGCATTTCTGGCCCTTTTTCATTCTATATGGGTGGGAGGTGATTGTTAATGTTTTTGGTGAAGGAGTACTGTAAGACCTGAGCAAGGAGCTGGCAGGATCTCCCTTGTTGCCTTGCTCACATCCTACCTGGATCCCATGTTTATGCATAAGGCTGTGGATTTATCACTGATCCCAGAAATAGTGAAGTCCTTGGAGGAAGCATTCTCTCTTTGATGACATCTTCATGAAGGTGTCATGCTGAGAGGAGCCTTGCTATATCAGCACTTTGCTTTGATTGCTTAAATATTCTACTGCCTTTTTGTGTTCTTAGTCAGGGCAGTGCTTTGAAGGAGAAGCCCAGACCAGCCTCTGAGTGTTTCACAGCAGAGAAGTTGAAGAAGGCCTATTACTTGACACAGAAGATACCTGACCAGGTATGACACAACAGTCCCTGGTACCAAAACTGCCAGAGTACTGCCAAGCCACTGTCTCAAACAATTCCATGTTTGTCTCAGTCCCGTTTCCTGACTGTACCTGACTGTGGAGACACCCAGATTGTGGGGAGCACCTGGGCTTCAGCAGGTCACAAGGTTGCAGAAATAAGTCAGGTTTGCTTAAACCATTGTTGCCCTGACTCATATTTGCATTGAAGTGGATATGTGCTGATGGGGGAACAGTATCCACTGGTCCCCAGATAGGGTCTGAACACTACCTGTTTCTCATATGTCTCTGCAGCTCTCACTGCATTTGTCAGTTGACTGCATACAGGTTAGCTGGGACACTTCCCTTGTGTGCAGCCTCTGTAGCAGAGGCTGAGTGGCAGAAGTGGGGTTCTCAGCAGCACTGATGTCAGCACTGAGTTTAGATTGCTGTATTTTGCAAATGGCCCGTGTCCCAGAGATCTCATTGTGGAGACCTCTTCCTGGAAGGGTTTGGAGAGTGGAGAGGTGGAAAAAGGAACTGAAAAAACGTAATTCACTTCTCCCTGACCCTGAGATGCTCTTGTCTGCAGGATTTTTATTCTTCTGTCTTGGACATCCTGACCCCGGATGATGTTCGCATCCTGGTGGAAACAGAGGATGAGTATTCCCGGCGTGGGCAGTTTGAGCGGGTGTTTCCCACCCACATCTCCATGCGCTACCTGCGCTTCTTTGAGCAGCCCCGCTACTTCAACATCCTGGTGACCCAGTGGGAGCTCAAGTACTACTTGAATAAACACAAAGGTAACCACCATCTGAGAGCTGGCACAGTTACCTGAGTCGGCAAATTGCCTGCCTGAGGCCGTGGGAGACTTCTGACCTATGCATTTTGAGAAGGAGCTGCCTGCCTCCACTCTACCCTTAGGAAATACATTCCCCTCTCAGAATGCTTCAAATGTCAGGAAAAGCTTATTCTGAGTTGATCATAGATCTGGTGCTGAGTTTACCAGCACAATCAAGCATTTCTAGGTGACTTGGGATATCCTAGTCCACAACTAAAGCAGCATAGATTCTGCCTTCACCCTGCAACTCTGGCTTTTTATTTCATATCTGTGCCTTTTTTTGAGGAAGGAACAGCTTGAGTCACTAGGGTTTGTCCCTTACAGGTGATTTGTGAAATGAAGGCAAAATTAGGCCAGTTCCCTGAGTCTACTGCTGCGTTCTAACCTATGAAGTAGCACCAGTGTGCATGCAGGAGAAAGGGGCATTTTTCTGAAATACAAAAAATCTAGCTCTTATCTCCACTTTCCCAGGACACCTCTGTATTCCAACAAAAAGCATCTTTTAGTGAAGTTTGCTGGGCCAGACCATTTCCTTCCTACTCAGGTGATTGTCACTGGGATAGTAGGAGGCGCTGTTCAGGAGAGAAAACTGATTTGTTGTGTGAGATGTTAGAGAACACAGAGAGAGCCTGTGGCTCAGGGCTCTCCTTCAAGCTCCAGCCTTAACTGGAGAGGTTTCTGAAGGAGCCGACCCTCCACTGATACAACTGTATGTGCTCCTAATGTGACTTTACATAATGCACAGCAAATTTAAAAAAAAAGGGGGGGGGGGGTTGGGAGGAAAAGCTTTTGTCACTCTTCAGTGGTATTTAAGCTAATATCAAAGGGGTCAGTAACTGTCTTTCACAGAGATAATAACCTCGTAGCCCTCTCCAGCTGTGCTGTCAGCATGTGTCATTCTTTGCCTCGCTAATGCCTTTTCTGGATGCTCTTCTGTCATTTTGGAAGAAAGACCCTGTCATCGTCTTCACTGAAGTGCTGCCCAGAGCTCTGCTACTCAGACTGAGCCCTGGCTTAGTGCTCCAGCATCCTCCTGGCACCCCAGCAAACAACTTTACCCCTTTGCTGCCCTTTATCTATGAGCAAAAACCAGCCTCTGCCCCCTTCCTTTTCACATCCATTCCTCACAGCCCTCATCTCTCCCTGGCCAATAAGTTCAGAGCCTTGTCTGGTGCCCAGAGCTGGGGCAGCACTGCCCAGCTGTCCTGCTCCTCTCAATCCCCAACACATGGGTTTTTTCCAGGGTCCTGGGGCATGCTGAAAGGTCACTGAGGAGCACAGTTTGGGAAGCAAGGGTTCCTCCTATAGCCAGAGTTGGTATCGTATAGCAAAGCACAGTAACCCCAGCTGGAGAGCATCAAGTTCCTGGCTGTTGCTCTGTTGGCTCATGAATCTCAAGGCACCTTAGCCTCATCTATGCCAGGAATGGAGCCCTGGTCTCAGCCCATATTGAGCTGTGTGTGCCTGCCTGGCCTGGATGTTTCTGGGCAGGAAGGAGATGATGCAGTTGGTAAATGTTGTGCACGGAGGAAGCTACCTGAGCTGCTGTCCTCTGGGAAAGGAGCTGGTGACTGCAAAGCTGCTCTGTATCTGCACTGGAGGAACTTTCACCACTCCAACCCAAATCAGGTGCTGCTGTTGGCAGGCACCAGGCTCAAGAGACTGCCAGTCTGGTCCAAATCAGCAAATCCTGTGCTGCCCCAGTTTCCCTGTGTAGCTGAGCCTGCTGCTCAGTGTGTCTGGCTCCCTGGGAGGAAGGCAGGCACTGCAGCAGCCCACGTGCTAGCGTTCCGCGATGCTTGCTCATACAAAGGGTGAATGCCCTTGGTTTACCCTGTGTTTGCTGGGGCTCAGGCACGCATTCAAGTTATTAGTGCATGGTCAGTTCACTCCGTGCAGCATTTTTTGTGTTCCCCAAGCTGGGGGAGATGTAGCTGTCTATGAGCTTCCCAATTCATTCTTGCTTCTTGTCTGTTCTGTCACCTCCCAGGTCTGGAGCTACTGAAGAAATGGTGTGTCAAAGGCTACCACACTGGGACAGGGACGGATTTGGCCCAGATGGTGAGCATAGCTATGGATAAGCCAGAGAAAGGTTGCTGTGAAGAGAGGGGCAGAGAGCCTGTGAATCTGTGGGTTGTCTGATTCAGGAGCTCTTTCTGCTTGTTCCACTTTCTGTGTCTCCTGCCCTACCTGTTCGTGCTGTTCTTCCCTCTCTGCTAAGGCCTCCAGCAGTCTGGAAAAACCCACATTTCTCTGTCTCCCACACTAATAAAATCTGCGCAGTAGATCAAATTGCAATATTTTGCATCCAAAAATCGTTCGGCACAATGGGCACAGCCTGACATATTTAGCATCCAGCCTGCCCTTTATTCCCCTTGGTAAGGGAACAATCTCCGTCTGTCACTCCTGTGCCTTAGAGCAGGCTGATCCAGTGAAGAAACCCACTCTTATGACCTCAGGATGCTCTGTTCCCACTTACAGCAGAGGGATTCATTAAGCAGGGAGTGAAGACTGCTCTGTTTGCTATTCTGGGAACAGTCTGGTGGCAGTGATGATGCGCAGCAGTGTGAGGCAGTTGAAGCTGAAGCACAGTAGGGCAGCCTACAGCAGATCCTTGCCTGTTCTCTGGGCACTGTAGGCTGGGGGAGTTTGTCATAGCTTAAATAGCCTTTTGGTTGTCTTTCTCTCCTTTTCCAGTGGTCGTTGCCAAAGTCCTTCTTCCTCCAGAAAAGCAGTGTTCAATCAAATGGCTTCAGCAAACTGGAACTGGACAGGCTGGGGTGAGTTTTCCCTGGCTGGGATATGCACAGTGTGGCTTTGGGACTGGTGTCCAGAGAGAACTGGCAACAGGAAAAGCAGCTTTGTTTCAGGGGGGAGAGAAAGTGGTTGGCTTACAGAGTCTGAGGCCAGCATCTCATTTATGGAGAGCGACTGATAGGGCTGGCATAATGTCTACAAGACTGGGCTTGTCTCCTTGGCACTGTATGCCCTGCTCAGATGGTGCAAGGCCCCAGAACAGCTGGAGTGGGTGTTGTCTGGAGAGTGACTGTTGTGGTCCAGGGCGTGCTGACAAAATGTGTCCTACAGGGACCTGTACCACCTTGATGGAGAGCAGAGGCTTTGCCCCAGTGTAGGGCTGGGAGAGCAGCAAGGTCTGCTGCAGGGCTGCTGTGCTCTGCCAGCTTCACTGAATGAAGTTGACTGCAGGATGGGTGCCACTGGCCTGGGCAGCTTGATACAAGACTGTGGTTCCTCTGAGTGAGCCAGATGGAGTGCAGGCATACACCTGGCCTCTGGAGTTAATGGAGAGGAGATCTTGTGCACAGACCAGAATGTGCTTGGGTTTTTATGCAGCCGGAAAGGCCAACCCCTGACCCTAATATTTCTTCTGCAGCAACCTCCTCTCACCAAACAGCAGAGACCTTGTGAGATGCCTGGAGCCCAACCCTGCTCAGAGCTTACCTCTCAACAAATGCACTGCTGGAGCTGACCAGAAACCTGGTGGCTGCCTCTCAGACACTGCCCTGGTGCTGTGAGCAGGCAGCTGCCTTCCCTCCCTGGGGACACCTCAACCTACCTCAAAGGAAGAGAGAGAAGCTGGCTCTGGAGCACAAGTACAAGTCCTGTGAAGCTCCCTGCACTGCACACTTGTCAGTGGGCTGTTCCTGGAGAGAGCTTTGTGACTCAGTTTTTAAAACAAATGGCAAAACCTGGCCAATTTGGGTTTGTGGCTGTTGTTCAAGCCTGATGTGGTGATGGTTTCCTTGTGTAGGATCTGACGGAGTTGGGCATCGACTTCCTCTCTCCTTCCCTCACCAGTATGGGTTGAACCCCTCCTTGCCTGTGTCGCTTTGCACTAACCCTGAGCTCCAGAGAGCCAGCAAAGTTGGCTGCTCCCCTCTCACTGCAGGCCAAGACAGGGGAGGGCCAGCTACTACTCTGCTCTTCTGGAAGGAGCAGGGCTTGGGCCTTCCAGCCCATGGGTTTTTATCCTATCTGAGTACTTGTGCCCACATCCTCTGGTTTCTGCCCACTGCTGCCCCAAGCCCTGGCCTGGCTCCCAGCTGCAGTGGGGCTGAGGAGGGGGCAGCCCCTTGCTGCTGTTGGCTCTGTGGTACCCTGCAGCGTGCACAATGGGGACTGCAGATGGGTGCTACTCTCCTGCTCTCTATTTTTCCCTTCATTTCTCAAGAATTTCCATTAAACTTTTGCACATGGCTGTTCTTGTGCCCTCTCTGTCTCATCACACCTGGTGGCCCCTTCCGTGGTGAGGGTACATTGGGTGCTTGGCTGGAGTGCCCCGTGGCTGAGGCTTGCAGAAAGCCCTTCCCTCTGCTTTCCCTGCAGCCCCCCATGCCCGCAGCAGGCCCTGTTTTCTGGTCTCCTTGGTGACAATCTCATCGCTCCTCGGCTTCTCTCCAGCACCTGAAAATAGCCACCGAAAGTGGAGATGCCTGCTGCCAGCACCGCCGTCGTGGCCAGGCTGGAGTCAGGCTGCCCCGCTTGGGGCTGGACACTTACATCTGCAGGCCAGTATCACACGGTAGTGAGGCAGCCTGGGGGAACCCTTGTGTCACCCCAACACCGCTGGCTCGTGCCCAGCCCTCATACCTCCTCTTTTTCTCCCTGCCTTTGGGTAATGCCTTTGCTATAGCTCTCAGTGTAGTTCTCTCTGCTCCTCGCAACCCATACAACGTGCATGGGGGTGCTTGTGGCCGCCCCTGCATCCCATGGGTATTTTGGGAAGCTGTCGGCTGTGATTTAAAACCATCTGCCTGGCACCTATGTGGGGGCCTACAGCCCTGCTCCCTTCTTTGACCAGGGTCCAGCTGTCTCCTAGGGTGAGCTGGAGCCACCCTGTCCCTATGGCCGGCCATGGGTCCGCTCGCCCACGGCCACTCTGGGTCTGGCCCGGCAGTGGGCCAGGCGATATTTGAACCTTCCTGAAATAGAAGTGGAGCTGGGAGCAAGCATGGAGTGGGAGGGGGTAGACCAGTGGGGTAAAGGAAGAGGTTTTGGGGCTGGGGACTTGAGATCTGGGGGCTGGGAATAGGTTGGATGGCAGCAGGACCCCAGGATGGGCCATGGCATGGGGACAGAGTGCCCAGCCAAGCTGTCCCTGTGTCCCACACTGTGCTGGCTGCCATTGGGGCCACCTATCCAACATCCTGCGGTACGTGTGGTGCTGTACCCCTGCTCCTGCTGCAGCAGCCACATCCTGGTGGTGGTGAGTCGTGCTCTGGATAAAAAAGGTTGGTGGGCTGGGGATAGCTTTTCCTCCTCTGGCTATCCATCCATCCCCTGTGTCCTCAGGTGCAGCAGGTGCTGCAGGCTGAGATGAAGGAGTGACGCTAAGAGTGCTGCCTGGTGGCAGTGCCCCCCCCCTTCCCCCCGTTGGAGGGGGCATGGCTGGCATTGCTGAGTGACACCCTATCTGCCAGGCCCCAGCCAGCCGCGGGCCCAGAATAGCAGCGCTGCCCTGCAGTCAGCATGGAGCAACTCTCCAGCCCTGCCGCTCCCCAGGTACCCTCAGAACGGGTGGGGGGCCGGGCTTGGTAGCCCCCACTTGGGACCAGCCATGCCGGGTGGGGGGTTGGTGGCACCTCTTCTATGGCTGGATTGGTGGGGACAAAGACGCACGGCACAGCATGACAAGCCTGCCTGCCTTCCCCCACTGTCCCCAGCTGCTGGGGAATGATTGGGGTGGGGGGCATTTGTGTAAGGTCACCTCCCTGCCAGGGCAGCTCTGGCCTCCTTAGAGAGCAATCAGTGTGGCTTTGTTGTTGTAGGGTGGCATGTAAACATTGGCTCTGCTGCCAGCTCTGCCCATGGTCTGTGCTGCTTTGTTATGGTAGGGTCTCCTGGGGGCTGACGGGGGCACAGGGCCAACCGGCTGGTTCTGATTGTCCCCCCCTCCTGCCTAGGCTGCCCCTTTGTTATAGTAAGATCTTTCATCGTGAGGCTGGGCATACCTAGACCCGTGTGGCAGGTGGGGCTGGCAGGACTCTCAGCATCAGAGGAAGCTGGAGTGGGATTTACACCTTGGGGACCAGGGGAGGGAGAGGAAGGGCACGGGGTTGCCTCAGCTCAGACAGTGAAGGGAGCACTGTGTGTTCTGGTATCCCATGCCCTGCACATGGGATCCTCCAGGAGTAGACAAGCTCTGTCCCAATGGGGCCTATACTGGCAGGGAGCTCTCTGGGGGCTGCAGCCTGGGTTGGGGTGAAGTGGGGGCAAGGTGGGTAGCTGCTGCTGACCCACCTGTCTCTGCATGCCCCTGCAGATGGTGCTGCTGGATGCTGCTGCCCGCCCCATGGAGGAAGGTGGGTAGCAGGCAGGGGGACAAGCAGCGTATATATGGATAGTAGGTGGGGCTGGCTCACTCATGCAATGAGTGCATAAGCCCTTGGCCTGCTTGGGAAGCCCATGTCACCCCACTCAACTCCTTCCAGGCTGAACAGCTGCTGTGCTCTGCACTGCCTCTGTCCCTGCAGAGTGGGGTATGAGGGCTCTGCTGCACTGAGACCCAGCAGCTCAGCTCATTGCTGGGGTAGGTGTGCCCACAGGATTCCCAGAGGCACTACAACCCAGGGGGGAAGAGGAAGAGGAGGAAAAGCAGAAGGGCTCCGGGCCCATCACTTTCACTCTGGGCAATGAGATCCTGGGGCTGGAACCTGACAACAATTTCCAGAGCCCTGATGCTGAGGTCTACATGCACTTCATGAGAAGTCACTGCTGCTATGATGCCGTCCCCACCAGCTGCAAGCTTGTTGTCTTCGACACCACGCTAGAGGTGAGGCCACGAGGATCTCTGGGGACAGACTGGGCAGTCCTCAGTGTCCTGACCCTGCCCTTCTCTGCTGGCAGATCAAGAAGGCTTTTGTGGCACTCGTGGCCAACGGGGTGCGGGCAGCCCCACTGTGGGACAGCAAGATGCAGAGCTTTGTGGGTAAGTTCCAGGGCAGCCAGGGCAGCACAGGGACTGCTATGGGATGTGGGCAGAGTGGGCAGCCCCATGTCTCTGCAGGGATGCTCACCATCACTGACTTCATCAACATCCTGCACCGCTACTACCGCTCGCCTCTGGTGAGTGCCCCAGACTATGATGGGCATGATCCTGCACCCAGGGTGATGGGAGGGATGTGGGCGAATGAGGCAGCCCTTAGCCATGCCACCCTGAGTAGGGCATCTCCCTGCCCTCAGGTCCAGATCTACGAGGTGGAGGAGCACAAGATTGAGACGTGGAGAGGTAGAAGCTGGAGGTGACGGGGAGTGTCTGGGCTGGGGATGTCTGTCATGTTCAATGTGGGGGTGGCTTTAGGACTGTGGGACACAACTTGCAGCTGTCTCCCTTTGCAGAGGTGTACTTGCAGGGCTCCTTCAAGCCACTGGTCTACATCTCCCCAAGTGATAGGTGAGCTCCTGCCCAGGGGGGAGATCTGGCAAGACCCCCACCCGAGGGTGGGCACCAACTCAGGGCACTGGGGGGCCTCTGGGCACAGCCACATCCCCCCACCTGCAGCCTCTTCGACGCCGTCTACTCCTTGATCAAGCACAAGATCCATCGCCTGCCTGTCATTGAGCCCATCTCAGGCAACGTGCTGCACATCCTCACCCACAAACGCATCCTCAAGTTCCTCCACATCTTCGTGAGTACAAGGTGGAACAGGATGGGGCAGTCTGTCACCGCAGGGTAGGGTATGTGCACAATGTGTGCTCACGTGCACTGCCTGCTTCAGGGCTCCACCATCCCCAAGCCGCGTTTCCTAAAGAAAACAGTGCAGGAGCTGTGTGTCGGCACCTTCCGTGACGTGGCTGTCGTACCTGAGAATGCTCCTGTGTATGCTGCTCTGGAGATCTTTGTGGACCGCCGTGTCTCTGCGCTGCCCGTTGTTAATGCTGCAGGTATCCTATAGCTCCTACCCTATGCGCACCCCCACATCCCCTCTTGCCATCCCCTCCTCACCCCCTCTTCTATCTCCCTACAGGTCAAGTAGTTGGGCTCTACTCCAGGTTTGATGTCATTGTGAGTATTGAGCATGTTGGCACGGCCGTGGTGGCAGTGGGTGCACATTCTGAGCATCATCATTCCTCCCAGCACCTGGCAGCCCAGAAGACCTACAACAACCTGGACATCAGTGTGCGGGAGGCACTGCGGCAGCGCACCGTGTGCCTGGAGGGCGTCCTCACCTGCTACCCCCATGAAACCATGGAGGACATCATCGACCGCATCGCCGAGGAGCAGGTGAGTGGCGGGAGCACATCCCTTCCATTCACCCGTGCCATTCCTTGCTCGCTGCCCACCTGTGATACTGTGCACCCACAGGTCCATCGTCTGGTTCTGGTGGATGAGAACCGGTACCCGCGGGGCATCGTCTCCCTCTCTGACATCCTCCAGGCCCTGGTGCTCACTCCCGCAGGTATCGATGCTCTTAACTCTTAGCCCGCGACGCTCCATCTTTCTCCATTCGCACCCTCCATTTCTCTCCACTTCAGGTAGGCGCTGCCCCTCTGCCACTGCAGAGCTGGCCAGGGAGGGGGGTCTGGGGGCACTGGGGGTGCCCAGGTGGTCACAGCGGGACCAAGGTGATGGTTGTCCCAGGGTCTCTAGGTGGGATGCAGGTTGCACACTTCTTTGGGCTGGGTGATGGTTTGGGGACATGATGTAGCCCAAGACAAAATCCATCCTTTTGGCATTGCCTCCTGGTCTTCATGCCCACCTGGTCCCCAGCAGTGCCCCGTACATAATGCAGCCCTGTTACCTTAAGCAGGCATGGGACCTGCACAGTGGCCACGTGGGTAGCAGTGTCAGGGGGAGACCAGCAGTATATCCCCCTCCAGACCAACCCCATCTCCTTTGCCAGTGCTTGCACACAAGTCCGGGATGAAGGTTGTCCTTGTGCTCTGTGTCCTGTGGCTGCAGGGCAGGACGCAGTGCTATGCTGCAGGGTGCCCAGCCTGGTGTCATGCCCACAGGGGGGTTATGGCCTTGCACACTCTCTCGCCCTGCAGGCATTGACCGACACTCGCTCTGAGGACACCAGGGAAGTGCCACAGGCTCATCCAACACAGGGCCTCTTGCTTGAGTACCGCAGGGCCATGGAAGGAGGCTTGGGGCCCAGGGGCTCTCCATGGGGGGGGCTGCCCATCTGCCCTGGCCCTGGGATTCACTCTGAGCCTGGGGCCAACTCCTGCCAAGCTTGGGGAGGAACAGAGCGGGGGAAAAAGGGTCCAAGGGTGCCTCCAGACTGTGAGCACACAGGGATGCTCAGTAGGCACTGTGCTACCAGGAGCTGTGCAGCTGGACGCAGGGACACCTGCATGGCACTGTGGGACCTGCAACATCCCCCCCTCCCAGCGACTGCTGTCCCCTCCTGCTGCGAGACCCCAGTGCTTCAGGTCCCACTGGTTGTGCCGGGTGCCTGGGAGGAGCGCATGGCTCAGCTGCACGCACAGGCTTGTTTTTTGTAGGGTCTCCAGGGCTGGAGCACCCTGGTAGAGGTGTTCGCAAGGGGACCCTGTACACTGATAGGGGGGTGGGGGGATATTTATTTATTTACCAGTCTCTTCAGCCTTGCTGGAATAAAGCAGCCTGCCCTAGGCACCGCGTTGTAGCCTTTCTGGGCACGCAGCCTGGCAGCTCTTTGGGATAGGGCTGGGGATGGGGTGCCCACATCAGCACAGCCAGAGGGATGGGGATGTTGGCTCACTCTGGGGTGTGCAGCTCAATGGCTCCACTGGTGCTGAGATGATCCTTGAGCCCCTCCTTCCCCCACTACTTTGCCCACGCCCCCATAACCACATTTCTGGGGAAGGACAGTTGACAGCAGAAGATCCCCTGTGCTCTGTAGTCCTGGTGCTGCCAGGAGACACGGTGCCAGCACCCATCCCTGTAGGGTCACCTGGCTCCATCCCTTGGGACTGCACACAAACCCTAAAACCCCACCACTCAACCCCAAACCCTGCTGGCAGCTCAGCCCTGCACTGCAAGGAGAGGGGAAACTGAAGCACGGAGAAGGGGCTGGGGCCAAGGTCAGTTATTCAGGCAGGACCCCAGGCACAGCTCCACACGCAGCAACACAATCACAGGACGAAGAACACCCACCCAATGGCTGCAAACCCCTCCCTGTGCCCCCTGGTTCCTGGGCATGGGGCGGATGGGGGCACTCCCGGTGGCATGTGAAAGGCACAACGATGCCCTGAGCTCAGGGGGCCCCTGGGCGAGCGATGAACTCCAGGTTGATGGGTTTGTCAGCCACCAGGACGATGCGGGACACAGACGTCACCTCCACGCCGCGGGGGTCCGGCCGCACCTCAAAGGCTTGGATGATCTGTTGGGGCAGACAGAAGGGCAGCAGTGCCTCGGGACCACCCCAGACCATCCAGTATAGCTCATGGTGAGCTTCCCAGGATGGGAGACCCCACTCACCCTGGCGAGGGCCAGGTGCATCTCCAGCTCAGCGATGCGGCGACCAACGCAGGCACGGACCCCATAGCCAAAAGGGATGGAGCTGAAGGGGTGGTGGGGGGAACCGTGTCCCCGGAGCCAGCGCTGGGGCAGGAAGCGCTCCGGCTCGGGAAAGTAGGTCTCATCGTGGGACATGGCATAGTGCGCCAGGACAAAGAGGGTCTGTGGGGTGAGAAGGGGTTAATGTCCTTGGATGCAGTGGGGTACCCCCAGCACAGCCCCCACTCACGTTCTTGGGGAAGAGGTAGTCTCCAATGATGATGTCCTTCTCATAGAAGACCCTGGCGTTGGTGGGCACCACGGGGTACACCCTGAGCCAGGACAGGGGGAAAGGTGCTGTGGGAGATGGACCCAGCCAAGCCCAAGGCAGGAATCAGGGGGAATATCTCTTGTTGCTCAGCGGCTCCATCTCCCTTTCCAGGGAGGAAATGGGCGGCTGAATGCAGCCCCAAGGGGCTGTAAGCCAGCTCTGCACCCCGGCCAATGCTCCTATGTCCCACTCCCTGGGTCCCCTGCTAAGCACATACCCTCATGTGGAGGAACAGGCTGTGCCAATCCACAATCCAACTACTCATCCCAACCCAAGAGGTAACAAGGGGCTATACCTCAGTGTCTCCTTGATAACAGCCCGGAGCATTGGCATCTTGGGGATATCCTCAGCACCAGGAAACCGGTCTGGGGGCACGACGGCTTTCAGCTCCTGATACAGGGTCTCCTGGATGCCCAAGTCCCGGGAGAGGTGGTAGAGGGCCCAGCATAACGTGTTGGAGGTCTGGGGGTGCAGAGGGAAAACGGGTGAGAAGCACTGAGAATGGGGAAAGTGAGGCGTGGAGCAAACAGGTGGCAGAGGGGGTCATGGGGTCTCCACTGACTACTTCCCTGCCCGTGCCCCTAGCACTGAGATTTCTTGGGACACCCTGGTGGCCCTCACCGTGTCCACGCCGGCCAGCAGCAGCTCGGCCACACTGCCATACACCTCGTCCAGGCTGAGGTGGCCGCTGGCCAGCAGGTAGCTCAGGTAGCCCTGAGACACCTCCTTGCCCTTCTCCACGTGCCCCTCCAGCTCCTTCATCTTCCGATCGATCAGCCTCTTGCCTGCAAGGATGGACACCCGATGCTGACATAGCGGGTGGTGAACCCCAGGTGGCCAAAATCACTGCTCCCCATTCATGATCACAGGGATCCAATCCCATCTCCATGGCTCACCAAAGGCAAAAATGGTGTCCCAGCTGTCCAGGTAGCGGTCCCAGAAGGGCAGCACCTTGCGGCTCCAGCGGGGCAGGACAGTGGCAAAGATAGAGTTCTTGAACATGAGGTTGATGGAGTCGATGAAGTGCTGGGTCTCAGCGGGGACCTGCTGCTTCAGGCACCCAATGCGGGTCTCGAAAAGGATATAGGAGATCCCTGCGGGGGACAGGCAGCATCCAGAGCCCCGTGGGGATGGGGGGAGCAGAGTGGGGCTGAGGACCCCCTACCTTCCAGGGCGAAGCGGTACAGCAGGTTGGCCACATCTCCCACCAGCACCCCTGAGGGGCTGCGGCTCCGCTCGTCCCGCAGCCGCACCATCAGGTCAGACACCACCTCGCCGATGGCATCCGCGTACAGCACCGCCTCCGAGGGCTTCAGCAGCCGCTTGTTGAGGACCTGCCGCAGGCGGTACCAGCGCTCCCCTTCCCTGCATGGGGATGGGACCCCAGTGTTGCATCCCCAATCCATGGGAGCGTCCTGTACCACGCCACCCCGATCTCTGGCAATCTGTCCACCCTCCGTGGCCGTGCCCATCTGCTCGGGGCAGAAGGAGCAAAGGGAGCTCCTATCCACATCCCCACATCACTGTGGGGCCAGACTCACTCAGTGAAGGGTCCATAGGGCAGGTGTCGTGTGTCCCGGTGCTCCTTCCATAGGGCCATGTCGCTCCGCATCGGGTACTTGCCCTCCTGCCGCAGCAGCTGCTCCAGCACCACTGGGCTCCCGATGTTGATGTTCTGGTAGTGTCCAAAGGTTGACTTCCAGATGGGTCCATAGATGCGCCGGGACATCAGCTGCAATGGATACACAGGACAAGGTAAGGGTGAGTGGTACATCAGGGCAGGGGGCAGCACTCAGCACTGAGCACAGACTGGTGCATGGCACAGAGTGGTGCATCCATCATCCATCCCAGGATGCGTAGAGAGCCTTGGCAAGACCCAGAGAGGATAGCAGGGGACAACTGCCATGCACATGGCAGGAAGATGCAGGCCCATTGCGGTGGCTGTCAGCAGATCCACAGAATCACCCAATCCATACTCTGTTAAACCCAAGGACAGCCCTTGAACCCACTGCCGATAAGGGTGGTTAATGATCAGCGCTGGGCACAGCACTGGGGCCACACAAGGCCTTGGGGACGTACCATCGAGGGAACATCCACCAGCACTGAGGGGTCCTTCTCTGAGCTCAAAGTTCGTCTGTGCTCATACCCTAAATCTAACCCTAACCCCACACCTACCAAAGCCATGGTCCTTTCAGAGCACTACTACCCCAGGCACTCTGGGGTCAGCTGAGCACCCCCTTGCCATCCACAGGGACATTTCCAGGGGGTATGTGACACCTTGCTGGGCACCAAGAGGCCCCTCTGGAGCTGGACTGAGCCTGGGAAACTGTGAGCACCCTACAGGGAAGCCCCAGTCCCCATTCCCCCTGGCTGCTGGGATGCACGTGGTACAATCTCCCTTGGTGACTGCGTCGCAGTCTGAGCCCAGATTCATCTGGATTCGTCACCGCCAGGAGACAGACATTCCTCGTGCATGGTGACAGCAGGAGGGGGAGGGACAGCCACCCCAGTGTTGCAGGCAGCACCCCAGGAAGAGGGGCCTCAGAGTTAGGGTCACCCAGGCTGTGGGTTAGGGTCAAAGCCTCTCTGCCATCGGGTGCTCACAACCACAACCCAACACAACGCAGGCCCTGTGCAGCAGGGCTGGGAGAAGCTGCTGGGATCCAAGGAAGGCACCTCCGAAGCTGTCTGCGAAGCCGGGCCTTGCTCGGAGCCCTGTGGAGCAGCAGGGACCCGTGCCCACTCCCTGACCTCTGCTGCCCTGTGACAGTCCCTTCCCCAACAGCAGTGCCAGCCGCTTCGTGGTGTAGGGAGGGTCCATCCTGTGCTCCGCCTGTTCCCATCCTGCACTCAGCTCCCAGACGTGGCAGGTCGGAGCTCCCAGCCGCTGGAGGATGGATGCCTCCTGGCTCATGGCCAGCCAAGCCCATGGCTTGCTTCATCTGATGTATGAGGAAATGTTTGGAGAAGAAAACAAACACCTCTGCCTGTTTCTATTCTGCCTTCCCAGGCACCACTTGCCCCACATGTAACACCAGTGTTTCTGGTTTGGGGTGCCAGGACTCTGCACACAGCCCCCAGACCATCGGAGAAGGTTGCTGTGCCCAGGTCAGGGACTGGGGGCAGCTGGAAGAACCCTTCGGTGCCCCTCTCTGTGCATCACCCCAGGGGCAGCGGGGTGCTCCGTCCCTCAACGCTGCCCACCGCCATCACCCCACAGTCACTCAGCGCTCACCCCAGCCGGTCCCCAGCACACCTCTGCCGCAGCATCACTCCCCCCCGCGCCACCAGGAATCCCTTCGTCTCCACACCCCCCGGGACCCCCCGGGCACCTGGAGGCGGTGCGTGTGCAGCAGGTAGCCGCGCAGGAAGAGCCAGACGAAAGTCCTGAGCAGCCCCGGCCCCGGCAGCTCCGCCGGTCCTTTCAGCCGCGCCGGCCCCGCCGCCGCCGCCGCCGAACTGCCGGTCCTGTGCGGCGGCCCCGGGCTGATCGGCGGCGGCGGGTGGAGGCGTAGGGGCAGCAGCAGCCGCCGAGCCCCGCCGCTCGGGCCCGCCATGCTCCGTCGGCAGCGCACGGGACGGGGCGGTGCGGAGCGGTGCGGGAGGCGGCACCGGGGGCGGTGCGGGGGGCGGTGAGGGGGCGGCACCGGAGCTGGGAAGCGGCAACGCGAACCGAGTGCCGGGTACCGGGAGATGCACAGAGGGTACCGGGTGCGGTGTGTGCCTCGTGCTTCAGGCAACGGGCACTACGTGATGGCTGCTGCGCACCGAGCGCCGTGCGGGAAACACTGAGTGCCGTGCACTGATTGGGATGGCTGTCCCTCTT